GCAATTAAATCAGGAGTGCGATTTTTCTTATTGAATTTTGTTTTATTTATTTAAATCCGGGTAGGGTATTAAAGGGTGAGTTTATATCAAAAACCATGTAGTAAATTGTCATTTAAAAAAAATATTTGTCATGAAAAAAATATATTTTCAGGTTAATAGTGATTCTATTATTAAAGCTTAGCATTATGTCTTAGGAGGCAATTAATGTTTCTTTGACATTATTCTATAATGTAATATTTTGTAAGCAATTTAAAATCTTTCAATAAACTAATAGTCTTTGATATTTTAAACAATTATTGTCTAATGGTCCCATCCAGCTTTTATTCTTATTATATTAAAATAAATAAGAGATATTTTAATGGCTTTTATTTTATAATCATTTTTATGTGATCATGCGTAAAGGATAATTCCGATATTTTTTTAGTTTATTGTAAAAAAGTTCAGAATTTTAGCGACTAAAAATATTTGTATAAATATATTTTTAAAAATATATTCGAAAAGCTAGCATCAAAGCTTCAAATCATTAGCAGAAAATAGCAAAATTCTATTTAAACTGTATTTGAATGTTTTAAAAATATTTTTATAAGGGATTTATTTCGTGATAATGGCACAAAGTAAGTTTCATAACCAAAAAATAAGAACTAATTATTGTTTTTTTAAAGATTTAATTAAAATATGTTAATTAAATAATGCATGCGATAAATTAATTCCCAAAACCAGGTACAACAACGTACTTTCTGTGAATAAATTATCTTCCCTCTCCCATAGTGTTATGACTTTTGACCCCCAAAATAATGAATGTAGCCGTAATCTAGAAACATGGTCAATAATTTATTCAGGACACCGGTTCAAAATTTTGATTCCTTAATACCATAATAACTTTTCGTATTTTTGGAACTTATTTTACGAATCTAAAAAGATTTTGCGTATGTTTATAAAAGTCATTTAAATGAAGTTAATTTTATACAAATAATCTGTAAAATATGAAAACTTTAACACATTTGTTCTGCTAAATTGTGTAGTTTTAAGTCATAAAATCCAAAATTTAAATAAATTTGAATCAGCATTTTTGAAATATACTCATATAAGAGAATCGTATTTTTTAATTTTAATTTTTTCTCTGGAACTACCTAACAAACTTTAATGAAATTTTAGATTTTGTTATTAAAATTTTTAGGTGGAAAATACTTAATTTAACATGCATTCATTGCCATGAAATACTTAATTTAACATTTTCCCCACAAACTCATTAATATTTTTAAAAAAAATTAAACTGAACTTTATTTTTTTTTATTATTATAAAATAAATAATACCTCAACTGCGATCAACTTTAAATTTGCAACGAAAAATCTATTGCTTTCAAGTTTTTGGCGGATTTGTAGAGTTTATTTATGGTGCTTAAATTAATTTTCATTATTTTTTTCAATAAAAATTCAAATATCTATAGTGGGTAAAAATATTTAGGCATGATACTTATTATAATTTAGGGTATATAACTTAACCTCCATATATTTTCTTCGGAAAACTGCTTCTAAAGTTATGACCGCTTTCAATATTTTTTTATCATTAAAATTAAACTGCGCCCAACTTTAAAATTTGTAGCGAAAAATTTATTATTTCTAAGTTTTCAGCGGGTTTGTAGAATTCTCTTATGGTGCTTTAATTCATTTTCATTATTTTTTTTCAATAAAAATTCAATTACCTCTACTGGGTAAAATTATTTAGGTATATTACTTATTATAACTTAGGGTATACAACTTAACCATCGGATATTTTCTTTGGAAAACTGCTTCTAAAGTTATGACTGCACAATGCTTACTTTGCTGAGAGTCAATTAAGAAGAAAAGAAAAATACTCGAGAAAAACTGAAGAAAAATTTCATTTGTATTTTTTTTTCTTCATAAAATTTTTTCATTCATTAGGGTTCAATTTATTTGACTGATTGTTGTAAAATTTTAGTTGATTCCGAATAATTCAAAAATAATGAAAGCACACGTACCAAACACGTATAAAAACGTATCATAAAACTGTCGAACTACGCTAAAGTGAACTCTCTGCGGGCCCAGTTAAAACAACTTTAAGCAGTGGTTCACTTTGTCCAAATTATTGAAAATTATTTTTTAAGCTACAATTATTCATTTTTTTCTTTCCAATTACTGAAAATTATTCTTTGTCTAAATTATTGAAAATTATTTACTACGTTTCAAACCAAGTATAATTAAAAGAAAAGAAAATGAAAAAATATTGCTGCTCATCAAATAGTGTATAAAGATTGTGTGAACAAGAAATGAATCAAATACATACTGTAGAATTAAATAATTTTCTCCTGTTTGATTATCTTTATAAAAGTATTTATTTCTAAACATATAAAGTTTCAAAATCATTTTTAACTGCGAAACAAGTGCAAAGAAAAGAAAACTATTACGAATAGTTAAAAAAAATTAAATTGATAATTCTGCAACGGCATATTCTTAATCTAAAGGGAATAATTCGATTGAAAAAAAAAATTAGAAAAAGAATGCATGACAGTTTTTTTTAAAAAAATAAACTCTAATTAATTTTCTACTTTTTGCACTAGGTTTAAAACGTGTCTAAATCATTTTATGTCATCATTAAAATCTTTTTAATCATCAACCACCTATAAAAACATTTCCTTTAAGCAATGTTTTCGAATACTAAATTACCTTTCTAGAAACAATTTAAATCACTTGAACTATTAATTTAAAACACTCCTTCCTGATTACTGGAAGATTAACAGGAAACTTTCAAATACATCCGATTTACTTTTCAAACACCCAACCGATTTAATATGCCAATATATGCCAAAATTAGGCGAAGTAATTCAGCTAGTTACAGTATTCAGTATTTTTCCTTTCAAAATATCTTGGCATCTAAATCTTTAAGTCTAAAGAAGAATTCACGTTTTAGATGCCAATTTTGTGCTTCACTTCGCCACAATTGAGTTGAATTCCCAGATTAAGTTGTTCTTTCGCCTAATTTATGTCTATCTGGAATTTCAGATTATGAGCTGCAGCGCAGGTCCCCGACTGATCAGTATTTTTTAATTGCAACTGTTTGAAAGATGTTCGATCCTCTGTTTCCTTGTACGCTTTGATTTTGAAAAAAGGTAGTCCTCAACGTAATCTTTGTCCTTCTCAATTCGAGCGTAACGAGGAATGTCGAAGTAGGACTAATCACTTCTTGATTTGTTCGAAAAACAGCGTGTTCCTTGTTTGGGGATGGGTTATGGATAGGTTTTGGTATTTATAGTTGAAAATCCTGTTTATGAGTTAATGTGTTTATTCTTTTTTTTTTCCTGTTGGCATTGCATTGTTTATATATTAAGAAATAAAAAAAGTAGATGTTTGTATTTTGAAATATAATCAATTGTATGGTAAATTAAACCCCAAAAAAAACTTCGTTTTATTTTAATTTTTTTTCATTCATAAGTTTACTTGATGATAATTTAAGCAATTTTAGATGAATTTAAGGTTGAAAATTCAAACGAAAAATACTACATAATTTAGGTGTAAGTGCAAGGACTCTAAGACGTTTAAGAGGAAATTTCTTCCAGAATAGTTTATTTTCTAGCAGCAACGGCAAAAAAGTCTGATATCAAAGAGAAAATTTAAAAATTTCTAACTATTTTGTACCATTTCTAGAAAGAATTTTCTTTACAATAGGTTATTTGAAACATTTCTCCCTAAACACCACACAGTGTTCTTTAGGGTAGATTTCTTTTCATTCAGATTCGTTCTTTAGCAACTATAGGTAAAATTCTGGTATTGACCGGAAAAATTGGGGAATTTTATCTAATTCTCAATTACAGCGTAACGGAGTAATATTCTCTAAAATATTCTTGAGCAGTGAGTTTTATTTGACTAATTTCATTTATTTATTTGACGAATTACTTTCCCTATGGTTATTTGGATTACGGTAATTTCGAGTTATTCGACCAATTTGTATTTAAAAAACTTTTCCGAGGCAGTGTCTCAAAGTAAGAGTTAAGGTACTATTTTTCACTTTTTTTTATCTACTTATTTTTAACTACTTTAAAGAAAATGCAGATCTGATTGTGTACCTTTTCTTTTGAGATTTTGGAGGAAAAAAACTGAAACTATTTAAATATTGCCACAAACTTCCATAGTTTTATGGCAGTATTCATTTATTAATGCATGTTTCAAAATCCTTATACATTTCAAACGTTATTATTAAATTTCTAAACTAAATTACATGCTGGTAGTGTATATCCACTTTGTGAGCCACTTTTTATCCTTACTCAGTGTATAACAGACATGCTAGATATAAAATGAATTTCAATTAAAAATTCATAAAACTGGTTTTTCTGTGGTAAAAGCTTACTGACCGAATTTCGTATTTTAATGTTTTATTTGCAACTAATATGGATATAATAGAGTATGCTTTTAAAATATGATAAGTAAAAAATATGGTTTTTGCTGCATTTCTTACAAAAAATAAACTTACATAATCTTATTAATTAATTCTCTGAAACATTATTATTTTAAATTAAATCTTTAAAACAATATTATTTTAACGTACAAAACGTTTTATGAAAGAGATAATTCAAAACTAAGGTATGGGAGCATGCCTGACTTCACAGCTTATATCAATGTAATAAAATGCTGTAATAATGTTTTAAACATTTGAACACGAATCATTGATTTTTTTCGTTGCATATATCACCCAAATCAGCTGCAAGTTGTGGAAGAGGGAGTGTAAACGATGCATATAATCATTACTGAAAAACATAGATCTATCTAAGATATATTCATTTCATTGGAAGTCAATATTAGAAAAGAACGAATTCGTAATTAAAATTTATTATTAAAAAAGGTTTTCAATGTTGAACGTAAATTTTTTTAAAAATAAATGTCAATATTTAACTCATCACAAAAACAAGTAAAGTTATAAATTTCAACGAATCTCTATTTTTTGTTAAGCTATATTTTGAAATACTTAAGTTCCATTTCTTTTTTAGGCCCTACAAACTCGAATGGCTGTGCTTGAAAGTCTCCAAGAACGTTTAATGCTGGCCATCGAAGATGTGAATCATCATTTAGCATCCCCCAGTGGAGCTGAAAGCCAAACCAGGTCGAAGACTGCTGGTCAGTCTCGTCTACAGAAGTCTGTATCTGATAGTACTGGAAGCGAAAAGAAACTTAGGTTTGCAGGCAATGCAGACAGTACTCATTCCAAGTCTGAGAACTATGGCTTAAAGACAGAACTTTCAAAAAGTGACAGTTTAAATAAGGACAGTGGTATAGGCGCCAGCGATAGTAGTTTATCTACAACAGACCACGCCGCCATTAGGAACGAAGAGGAAGACGAACTGTTGCAATTGCTTGATTTGATTGACCAGAAGAGTTTAGTCCTTCTGAAGGAAGTTGAAAACGCCAGTTCTCTTGACCATAACAAACCTACGAGTCAAATGGGTGACGGTTCGAGTGCAAGATTACTCGACAATCTTTTGTTTGAAAAGGTGGACACCCAAAGGCAACTATCCCAAGTGAAAGCTGAAAGAGATGACCTTAGTCGACGGTTAGCTAAGCTGGAACTTGCAACCGAAGCAGTGACCAAACAAAAAATCAAAGTCCAACAGCAGCTTAACGTAACTCTTCTTGAAAATCAATCACTGCAGCAAAGGATACAATCTAGTGATGTTAAATCAAAAGCTGAGTCCCTAGGGTACTTGGCGGATATTGAGCGATCAAATATCCGTAGAAAATACTTACAATATAGTGAAAAAAGCCGTAAAAAAGTATCCAGTATCTTGAAAGAAGGTAATGTGTTAGAGTTACAGAAACAACTTTTGACTTATGTTATGGAAAATGATGTTCTAAGAGCGAAACTTCAACAGGATGACTCTTCCAAATCTGCAACATGGTTGAAAATTGAGTCTCAGCTAAGAAAAGATTTAAAAGAAGCAAATGAGGAAAATCAGAGGCTACAAGAGTTGATGCAGTCAAAAGATTTAGAGATTGCTTCACTGAAAGACAAAATTAGGTGCTTAGAAGAAGGATCTGAAGCTGATTCCTGCGTCAGGAACTTTGGCATGGCTAGTACGGAAGACTGGAGAGAACCTGGCATTCAAAATGCTTACAATAAACGTTCAAATCTCAATGCCATTTCGCCATTTTCTCCTTTGGGCTATGGTGATTTTTCAAAGACTCAAAGTCTTCCTGCCATGCAGTTAGATGCGAGGGCAAAATTAAAAGAGCAGGAGGCTTCTCGCAATAATTATTGTCATGCTTATGATACCAGCAGCTTCACAGAAGTCCCTCTCGACCATAGCTTTCAATCCAGCCATCCAAATGACCCACCCAGTCACACTAGCGTTAAGAAATCAGACTTGGTTGATCTCACAAACCCTGCTGAACCAAATTTTTCTTCAACTTCCACTTTGGTGCAATCCCCATACATGTACCAGCCATCACTGCAATCAGGACTTTCAGCGCCAAACCTGAGTGGCCTCTGTAAACATGAGACCTTCCAGAATTGGGGATTCTCCACCCGTAAATCTTCAGCTCCAGAGGCCACTAAGAATAACGGTGGTAGTAGGTTGGTGAACGGCCATCTTTGCTGGAAAGGTGCAAACAGACTGTCAACATCACAAGACATTTCCAGTATTTGTACTGAATTCGATCCACTAACTGAGGACACGCCTTCTTGTGAAAATTTTGTAGACTCTTTAAATCTTTCCATACCATTAAAGCCAACTCCGGCAGCTATACCGCAGTTATCTTCCATTGGAGATAGTTTACATAGCGCGAGCCTTGAGATGGGCTGTTCGTCCAGTCCTGTTATGTACCAGGACACACCACGTAAAATTCTAAATGCAAGATCAGTTGATGGTATTAGAGACCTTTTAGTTGACAATGTTTATTGTAAAAGGCCACATTCTTCGCAATATGGTCGCACTAGTGTGGCACCTGCCTTATTCTCCAAACAAGCAAGACGATTGCCTGTTAATATAATGAACTGTATGCATGAGACATCAGATTATTCTTTAATGTGAAAGTTGAATGTGGACCAAAATTTAGATTTTATTAAAATATTTTATATAGTTTTTGGTGTTATTCTTTAAAAAATATTGCAATGTAAAGAGTGTTCACTAATATTAATTTATTAAATAAAATTTGGGAAAATAAGTGACTTAATAATGATAACAACAGGGTGACATTATTTACCGTCAGAAAAACAGATATATATATTNATATATCTATATATATATTCTCAGATTTTTGTAATTAGTCCAAAAACTTTTCAAAAGATAGTGCTGAGTTTCTTTTACTGCTTGTTCAGTTGCATTAACTGATTTCATCCTCCGATAATAACGAGTGATAGCGGCTAAAGATGGGAATTTCGAAACAATTGAAATTCATTTTCAAAATTGAAAGATCTTGAAACATTTTGATGTAATTTTTAATGAGATTTCTTTAATTGCATTGTTTATTATCTACAGCGTCATATGTTGGGAAAATTTTAATCAAAATTAACTGAGAAAATAAAATTAATTCCCGGTCACATGAATTAGCTGCTAGAAAGTTTTTTTCTTAACTTTTTTAAAAATTTTTTAAAACAATTAGGTAAATTTTGAGCCCCCGGTATTGATTCAAGTTTTACGAACAACATTTCAAATAACATTGTAATGCAATTAACTCAAATATGTAGAAATGTTTCGCTGTAGACTAGTTTCTATCAAATTCATAAAATTCAATATGATTAAGAAACCAAAGAATTTTCATGAGTTAATCGCTCCATAATGTTACACTAAATAATTGTTAATTATTTTTTGTGTTTATATATCTCAAGCATGTGGTTTGTGATAAATTTCGAGGTACGAATCTTTTTCAGTAGTTCGGGTGAAGACAAAATTCACTGTTGAATTTGTAAATAGTTCGTAATATATGTTAGAACTTTTCTAAATACTATCTATTGCATCGTGTCTGATATTTCATGCACGAATATAATATAAAGTATACATAAAGATCTCTATTTACTCTTGAGATTGAATCTTTATTGGAGGTCACGGGAGGGCACGTGTATCATCCGTTTAAAGGTCACCTGTTCAAAACCAATAATTGATATGATTATCTTAGCTTATTATTCTTTGTTAGAGATTTATCTCAATTTACTAAATCATTATAGTATATAGAAAAAATCTAGTTCCCAAAATGGAAACAGATGAACTAAGAGAATCTTAATTTCTCGTTAATTGAGCTTCCACAACTAAGAACTGCATGTCCGGTGGACTCATGACTGCTTGGACATGGGCCCAACGCCCTACCAACCAGACTATCTCGGCCTTTCAGAAACTTTTCATCCCAAATTTTGTTTCACTTCCATTTTTAAGTTAAGGTATAGAAAAAAGGAATTCAGGTAAGCCTAAAGTATGAAGTTTCAATTGCTGAAAAATAATATCAAAATGCAAATAATTTATTGGAAGAAAATTTTCCCGTTATGTAATCCTAAGTTATCCTCTCATAATTTGTTTTACTTTTGATATTGTGAAAGTTTTGTTTTCAGTGTTTGAAACTTCATAACTTACACTAGGTTTGCCTGAGCTTACTTTTTCTATACTTTAAATTTTAAATTACTTATGGAGGTGACAGAGAAATCGGGATGAAAAGTTTCTCTCCTGATATAGCATCCTTTTAACTTGTCGGACAAAGAAGTGTCTTCCACAGTAGGAGTCTTTTAAATGACTAATTAGCGCTTTTTTATATGTGAGCACGAAAAAAATTCTGTTTGCTTTTTTTTGGTGAAAGAAAAAGTGATGCTCACGAAAGATAAGTTGTCTTGGGGGGGGGGGGAAATGCCTTTTTAAATTTACAAAATTATATGAATTCAAGTCAAAAATTACATTAAAATTTTTTTTTCAAGTATGACTTGCTCTTTTCTCTTGACAGTTTGCACAGTGGGCCAGCATCCAAGGTTTCGTGGCCAAAATTAGTATTTCGATAAAATTTGTTTCAAAATTTGGGGGTTTTTATGTGCAGGTAAATTGAATTCATAGCAGAAATTTTGATATACACTAAAAATTCCGAAAAACAAACAAAGTGGCGGCTGAAATATGGCGAGCAAAAATAAAGTAAAAATAATATAGCACGTTTAAAAAATTAAATATAGCAATGAAAATAGAATAATTTTCGTAATTTTATATTAAAGATGAAAAGCAAATTATATTTCTGAAGTAATATTACAAAATAGCGTTAATTAATTACAAATTAAAGCGAAAACATGAAAAAAAACATAATTTTTGTTTTTTGGTATATTTAGTTCACCTTTGCAATATGGGCAAAATGGGGCAGGTTTTTTCGAAAGAAGAAACATCAAAGAAGACAACAAAAAAAAGTTTAGCTAATTACCTCGTGGAACTTTTTGGAGATAAGTTTCGAAAGTGATTCAAACATTGTAAAATGTCAAATGATAAGATATAAACTATAAATTTGTCTAGAGTATTACCTAATCCAACAAATTGAAAAATTGTACAGTAATTTCAGACTAATTACTCTTATAAAAATGCAACAGTAAGGTGAAATTCCTATATATATTTCCGAAATATAAATTTAAGAGTTACATTTAAAAAAAATGTTTTTAACATATCTTTCACTACATTGTACTCTCGTTGGTACAAAAAGTAAATTATAATGTTTGGAATGATTATGAATACTTAATTTGGGCGATATTTAAACTGCCTAGACATACTAACTGAAAATTTAATTTTGACTTTTAGCCAAAGATCATGGTCTTCTGCCCCACTGTGGTTTGGTGCAAAATCTCCAAAGTATGGGATGAGACAGTGATTAAGGCACTGATCTGTCATTGTATTGGGATTCTGTTTCTGAGACTTGAAATAAAACCTCCTAGAAGAGAGAAGGCCTTCGCACGAGTTAATATAAACGAGAAATCCGATTCTTAAATAGTTCGAACCTATCTTTTGTATTTTGTCCCACTGCGCAATTTAGTAGTCCGAACGTAGTGACATCTATCTTATCGCCCTCACTGCACAGTTTATGTCCGTTACGTCAGATTACTTAATTGATTCATGCAGAGGCCTTCTGTCTTCTAGGACGTGTTGCTTGAAGCCCACCCATTGTCAGTTCGATGGATAAATCGTGAATCAAAAAGATAAATCGTGATTACAGAATGATACACGAAATTTTGAAACGAATAAAATATTTAAATATGAAAAAAAAAAATTGGATGGCAAAAATACGTCTATTAAAAAAATAGATCGAACTGGTGACCATAGGCAGAGTCAGGAGGTTGTATAGTACAGCAATTGGTATGAAATGATGTGGTATGTCAAATAGTATCGAGCCATGCCATAAAGTATCATGACATGACATAAAAGATGTACTCGGTTCCTTGACTGTATTATACACTATTAATACTATTTATATTACGTCAATTATGGAGTACAACTTTAATTAAAAAGCACTTGGGATCGGTATTAAACACTGAATTTATTTGATATATTAAAAACCGCTTGTCACGTTGATAGAGTTTTGACCTACATTATCCCACTGGTCACTTGCAAGAATTATTTTATTTTATTCTTTTTTATTGAATAAGCTTTATGTTAAATAAACATTGGAAACTACATATGCAAAGCTGATGAATATATTAAGGTTAAAATATTAATCTCTCTATTTTAAAAAAAATCGTGTTTTGGATGTTTACCTTAACGTCTTGCGTCTTGTCTTACTGCGCAAAAACAATGACTTAGAAACTTAAAAGTACTAAGATGTATAGAAAAATGTGCAGGGATTAAGATGAAATAAAAAAAAATAAACATTCGACAATAACTGTTAAACTTGATCAAAAAAATATCATACGGGCACTCTACAGGCCGCAAAAATGCAACTACAGGTTGAAATTTGGCAGGCTGAAAGAGTCATATTTTTTAAGAACTTAATGCAGAGTTATTTCTGAAATTCAGGATTGTTCGAAAGTTTTTAAATTTTTTAAGAGATTTTTCTCAATTATCTTTGCTTTACGTTACGTCTTGCTGTGCTGCTCAAAACCTATAAGACTTAAAATTACGAATGTGTATAGAAAAATTTGCAAGGAATTCGATAAAATAAAATAAAAATTCTATGCAATTTTTATTTCTAGAATTATTAACTGTGAAACGTGTAGATAAAAGAAACCATGTTGGTCGTCGTACTGATCACTGAAATGTAACTATAGCGTCGGAATTTGAAACGCTGATAAGACTATTTTTAACTATAACTTTAACGAGAGTTTTTTTCACGAAATTCATATTTGTTCGAAAGTTAATACAATTTTAAGTGTTTTTTTTTGCAATTTTTTCTTTAAATAATAATAATTTATCCACTGTTGTCGAAAAATGTATCTCTCCGCAATCTTCATTTTATAAGATCGCTTTTCGGATCACAAATAACAACAAAAATATGAATGAATAAAAAAACAAGTGCGAGATTCGATTTTGCTCTGATACAAATACAAAAGTTTATTTCAAAAATTTTAAAATGTTTCTTATGCGAACTGTCTTATGATATAAGGTTATCGTTATATATTGTTAACAAGTAAAATTACTTCTCATCTATTTCCGCTAATTGTGCAACATGTTCTGTATTCCTAAGTTTCAATTACATTTGAATATTTTTCAAATACAGTTATCCCTTCATTTCGTTACGATTAACATATTAATAAAATGTACTTACATAAAACTACAGTAATTCTATATTTTCTAAACAAAATTATCTTTTCATAAGGATTTTGAAGAACAAAAAAACTTTAAAGAAGATTATAGAAGAGACGGTTTATGTCCATTAAGGCTGATTCTAAGAAAAAAATAAATTTGTGCACTGACAGGGACAGTTTTTCTACAGCACCACCCAACTTCACTAGGTAATAACTCTCGGAGAGTGGGTACCTATTCTTCATGTTACTGATTCCATAAGATTTAGTCATCCTCAAAATGCAATAGATAGCAATCTAGTCATAAATTTTGTAAAAAAATGGACATAAACTATTCTTTTTTTTTTTATTTTTATCTTTCATAATAAATGAAAAACAACCTCAAAAGTTGATGAG